CATCGAAAAGCATGAAAATGTAAAGACCGTGTCTTGATGGTCTCTATAAGAGAATGAATGAATGAATGAATGAATGAATGAATAAATAAATAAATATGTTTTAATGAAAAATAGTATTTATTTCTGGGTAACCTCAGATGAACACACATGAATCTGCATGCAAATAGCTCTTGGGCCTAAACAGCTATTTTTGTTACATGTTTTCAATGTGACATTATAGAACATACCTGACTTAAAAATAACTAAATAAATAAATAAATACTGGGAAATTAAGCATTTTGTTCATAGTAATTTTATCGGTGCTATCCTGCTGTTTAACTGACTTTTCAAATTAGAGTCATAATCACTTACTGATGCAAGGAGAGATCCAGGCAGACAAAGTCTTTCAATAAAAGTGTAGCTTACACACATATAAACACACATGTCCCATATGGCTCCACCTGACCAGGGGAAGGTAATATGGGGATTTCATATGAAATCCTCTTTTCTCATATACACAGATACACATTCGCATTCCCCCCATTCCAGGTGGGCAGCACAGACGAACAACCCTTCCCCCGTCCTGAGGGATAAGACTGAGGTAGAAGACCTCCGACAGCACTTTTACCTTGCCTAATCACTCCCCCTTCCCAGAACCTCTCAGTCCCCACCTCACACTGACCCATCCCAATGGACGAGAGGGCACTTTGCCAGCTGAACCCTGAGAAGGTTTTAGGACGACAGAGAAGCTCAGGAGATTTATCCATTGACGCTTTCATGTGTGTCCATGTCAGTGGTCGCTGGAGCTCCTCGTATGTGGCCCTGGATGGAGAGAGGGACAGCTGTAGGCAGAGAGGACACATGAGATCAGGCAGAGCAGCTGTAGCCACAGTCAAAGGTGTGCAGGACAGCTTTATCTGTTTCAGATGGGGAAACATACGGCCAGAAATGCCCATTCTGGTTCACCTAACAGCATTCAAGTGGCTAATATGGTCCCAGATTGATAGATGACAAGAAAAGCAGGATCCACCTAGATTAAAGTGTTGACCTACAAACGGTTCTCTATCTGTCCATCCGTCCGTCCGTCCCTCTATCTATCTATCTGTCCGTCCGTCCCTCTATCTATCTATCTATCTATCTATCATCTATCTATCTATCTATCTCTCTATCTGTCCGTCCTTCCCTCTAGCTATCTATCTGTCCGTCTGTCCCTCTATCTATCTGTCCTTCCCTCTATCTATCTGTCCATCTTTCCCTCTATCTATCTATCTATCTGTCCATCTTTCCCTCTATCTATCTATCTGTCCATCTTTCCCTCTATCTATCTATCTGTCTGTTCCTCCGTCCGTCTGTCTATATCTATCTATCTATCTATCTATTAGATCTATCTAATAGAATGTAAAATAATACTGTAATAATTTCACTCACTCAAGAATTAAATATGACACATAGGAAAGGAATGTAAGAATGTTTATCTGGCCATTTTCAGGCATGCTGACACAAAATATTTAATTATTAAATATTGCAGTCACCTCACAAGTTTTTCACCAATAGTTTCTTGGTGTAGCTGACTTTTTCAAGCAAACCCTTGTGTATGCAGTGTCCCAAGTGCAGCGTGGAAACTGTGGACTCTCGCATGGACAGCTGATGGAGGGATGGGGTGCGCCTGCCAGGACTGCTTTCCTGTGGGTTTAAAAAACAGGCCATTCCCCACCTGTGTCACAGCACAGGACTGTGGCCTTACCTCTGCTCTACCTCCATCCGCCATCTGGAACAGTCAGTGTGGGCAGGGGGCGAACTGAGGCCACAGCCTAGGACCGACGACTCAAAAAACAGCTTTATACAGAAATCCTGTGCACTTTGTCCAGTGGGATCAAGAAATAGTCCATTTCAGTGACGCCCAGGTGATAACTGGCCAAACACTGAGTTTCCACAGCAGCTGTGGTTAACATGCTGAAAAGTACAGAGGTCTGATATGAGAATTACCCTGGGCCCTTATGTACTTAATGAAGAGGAACGGAAATGAGACATAAAAAATGAATAATTTTTTGAAAGATTATTTTTTAAATAAGAGAATAATAAAAAATGAAAAAAGTTTGTAATTTATATACAATGACTTACTTGCCTTTCTCTGTAACTTGCTCAAAAGCCTTATTTCCAATCTCTGAAAATGTATTGTTCACTAAATTTATTGTCAATACAGTGCCCTCTGTCACTATTTCCTGATGTAAACTATGGCTATGGTTTTGATGACAGTGATTGAAAATGCACAAGGCTACACTGTAAAAAAAAAAAATCGGTGACATTTACGGTAAAATACCGGCAGCTGTGGTTGCCAGAACTTCACCGTAAGAAATATGGTAGCAACATTTTAGGTTTTACAGACTTAACTTAAATTCACAAAAAAATACCGTATTTCATTAACTGATGTAATGTTAATAAACCAACATATTGAAGTACTAATATCTGTTTTGAACCATTGTAATGCATTGGTAACCACCAAAAACTGGTGGTGATGAGAAACTCACATGATGAACCAAAGCTCATCACAAACAGCTTTTCTATGAGCTGAGGAGGGCAGTACTTATATATAGAAGGTGCACAGTGTCATTCACGCAAACACTAAACCCCATCATGGTGAATAATGCAATAAACATTAATTTAACAACATTAGATGTAAGATTAAACCCTAATGTACACAACTGATAAGAAAAAAACTAAAAAAACATGTTATTTCAACAACAAAATAAACATCAAATATGAAGTGTCATGCAGGGAATCATGCAGCTTTTTCACTTCCAATAACCGTATTTTAACAGTATTTTACTGTAAAATGGCATTAAATGTAATTACATTTATTCACTGAATATAGTATGGAAACTTACTGTTAACCAGTTAAAAGGGTTTTACTGTAGTATTTTTACAGTCTTTTACTGTTAAAAGCGCAATCATTTTTTACAGTGTATACTTTTTCTGTATGGCATATATTTCAACAGTGCAATGTTACTTAGCTTACTTATTGATTGCAAGAGATTGGACAGGATTCACTTTTATGCGTTTACTGTTGGTCTCTTACAGTTTTTCTCAGTCGCTTTGGTGCATTTCTCAAATCAGCTAATTGTTAAGAGATCTGAACTTATTGTTTCGGGGAAAAAAAGTTTCATTCGAGAATTGAGCCAAAGCAATTGAGAAAAACTGTAATACTAACAAAGTGCACTGTTATATTGACAACATGACTAAGCATTTTGACTATCTTGTTTGTGAACAATGGCACAAGTACTTTTCATTCTGATGGCACTGATATGTTCATTGACATACTTACTTTTGAGAGATGAACTAAAGATTTTGAGTAAGTTACAGGCTTTTGCAGGTAATCCATTGTGTGGTGCTGTTTGTACGAATTGTTTTGAGAAATGCACATACATTTTTGCAAATATTAAGGATGATTCAAGAAATGCACCAAAGCGACTGTAACTGTAACAACTTTCAGTAAACGTAACTGCGCTACAAAAAAAAATAGATAAGACTATTTTACAGCACAAGGGGGGAAAAAGTAAAGGTAAACGTGGGACAAATAAGGTAAACCCTCTTAGGCAGACATCATGCAGCACTGTTTGGGGAATGACTACACCGTATGTTAAGCCACAGATTCTCATCCATATCTTCCTGTGCAATGCATTGCTGAAATAATCGAATGCTTCACCTTTCTCCACTTTATTTGAAATAGTCATCAATTCAGGACACATTTATATGAAAATTCTAATAGAAATGTATAGAAAATATGAGTGACAGATAATGACATTTCATTTAACCATTTTGCATTTGGTGTTGTGCTGTCATTTAGTGTTATTACTGATTGTCACTTTAATATAACTAAGCTTTCTTTTACAAACATATATGGAGAATAAATAAATAAATAAATAAAATACTAACATAGAAACTTGCCCTTACAGCAACATTTTTTTTCAATCTTCTCTGTTAAAGTGTTGCAGTTCCAAATCCGAACACTCAAATTTTTGGCGCAGTTTCCCCAAAACCTCAGTGGGAAGTATTTTGTGGAAAAGGGACATTTGTTGTTAGAAGTCCAGACACATTCAGCTATGATGTAATCCGATTTTAGCAGTACATATTTCAGCATAATAATAAAAGGCAGTTCAGAATGATTAAATAGGCTAGTCATTGAAATAACAATCATAATTTTCCTTGGTATCAGATTAATGGCTCCCCCTATTTTATTTTATTATTTTTTTTATTTTTTTTTACACATAACGAAAAAAAATAGCACAAAATACAACAACATACAAGGCTTACCTGGACTTTCAATACAATTCATAATCTGTAGGCCAGGTCCATGTGCTCGTGGGTTTATATAACATTCATCACATTTAGGCTACTTACACGTAATTGTTCTGATTTATGTCCATCGGTGATTTTTTTGTATTATTTATATAATATTTATTAATACAGTTTTTAGTTTTTGTTTTAATTTTAGTTTAAACTGTAGTAATTTTGTTAGGTGTTTTTTACGGCTTTTGTATTTAAATATTTATATTTAGCTTTAATTTATATCTGTCAGTTTTAGTTAGGTCGCATTGCCAAGACA